TTAAATATATTTTTGTATTGTTACACTCATCTTATATTATAAATAAGTGGATTATAGTGAAAATATCTATTTTCACCCCGTTTTGAAGTCTTGTTAAGTTTTTCACACCGCTCAATAAAAAACTAAGTTTTTAACCCAGAAAGTGCGAAGGTTATGCGAAAACTGTCGCATATTCATCGCACAACTGTCCATATGCGAAGGTTATGCGAAATACTATCGCATAACTGTCGCATATCAATTGCATAACTGTGCGAAGGTTATGCGAAAAGTGTCGCATAGTCATCGCATAACTTTTCATATGCGAAGGTTATGCGATGTCGCATATCAATTGCATAACTGTGTGAAGACATTGTGCGATAAATATGCGACAATTATGCAATTGATATACGACAGTTTTTCGCATAACCTTCGCATACGGACAATTATGCGATGAATATGCGACAATTTTCGTATAACCTTCGCACTTTCTGGGGTAAAAAACTTATTTTTTTATTGGACGGTGTGAAAAGCTTAATTTGTCTTTGTTATAGGGTGAAAAAGATTTTTTTCCTTATGTATTTATATACATAGTAACTAATAGAAATATATCATATATCATTACAATAAATTTCTAGAAGCATATGTAGCCAGATATATTTTTTTTTGTAATATAATTTAATTTATGAATAAAAATATAATATATATCACTACAAGAAAACACTTCAATTTCAACGGCAAAAATTTCCGTTGGAAATTCCAATGAATATTCCAACAAACTTAATTTTATGTTGGAAAAAGTGTTGGATGGTTGAGGAAATCCAACGGATTTTTTTAGTTGGAATAGCTGTAGGAATTTATTTTCATAGAATTTTCCGTTGGATTTTAGTTATTCCAACGGCCGTTTTTCCTACGAATTTTTATACGTAGGAATATCCGTTGGAGTAGGTATTCCAACGGATATATAAAGAATTCCAACAGAAATTTTCCGTTGGAATGTAAGATTTTTTTTTGTAGTGTATGGTTTTATAGAAATAAAATAGATCATTCTAAATTATGTATAAATGCATTTGTTGAGAGTTTTATTTTTATATAAGTATTTAATATATCCAAATACAATGTGAAGTAAAAAAATAAAATTATTTTTGAATATTTATTTCATTTTTTTTAGATAATTTTATTTAATATAATTTAATCATGATATATAATATATATTATATATTTATTATTTTTTGTTATTTGTTAATTTTATTTTTTGACTATTTGAATACTAAAGACATGGGAATGGAAAAACCATGCATTAGCTATGGAACAACTAATCCTATAGAGATGAGTTTTGCAATTCTCATTGCAACGATTATTCATTCCTAACAAATATACCAGTCATATATGATTAAGAATGAGTAAAAGAATTATCATTTCATTTTCATGTGACCCAACAAACCAATCATGCCATGTTCATCGACCCGGCCGGTTTTTGGACAGCTCGGGCCGGGCTGGGAGCGGTTCATTGACCGGTTTGGCCCGTGAACATGTCTAGTAATGAGTACTTGATAAGCAACCCGTAAACCTGATTAAACCAAAATCTTACAAGAAATCTCATGGAAGCAAAAAAAAAAAAAAATCCTTACTCCCCATGAAAAATCCACTACTTTTTCGCAGCTAAAAGTGTTGTAATGATGAAATCATCCATGCCATCTGCAAAAGGAAACATATGACCCGCGCCCGTTAACTCGTGATAGTGAACCCACGGAAGCTTACGGGCAATGTCCTGTTGCAATGTGACGGGGACAATTCGGTCCTCATCACCATGCCATAAGTGGACGAACGGACCTTCATCAACGTTTTCCGAAAATGGGTTCTTTAAATCCGTTGGGTCGAAATCCCATGTCCCAAACATGAATGCTAGATCACGGTGGAGGGACTCGAACTCCCCTTGTTGTCTTACCTGCGCCTGGTTGTGCCAAAAAAAAAAAACGCAAGTTCTTCATTTAAAGCAAATAAAAGACACTATATTTTACGCATACAACATGACATTTAGGGCGTGCTTAGATACAAATTAACTTGAGTTAATTTTAATAAAGTAGTATGGTTAGTGAGATTTTGAGTTTATACTAAAATAATATTTAAGTAAAATAATTAAAATTGATTTGATGTAAAAGAAGGTAAGAGATGATATGAAGTGATGTTTAGTTAAAATTATGTGAGACAATGAAAAATAAGTTAAACTTAATGTGATGTGTAAGAATGAATGATTGATATTATTTAATTATATTGAAGATAGTGAAGTTGGGTAAAGTTGAGTTAAATTTTGAGTACGGATTGAAATTTATAAACAAACACACCCTTATTTTTCTCAACAAGTTACACCCGAAACCCTTCGGAGGAGAGTGTTTGATAGATAAATACAAAGTCGAGGGGTATTTGTAGTTTTGTGATAGCTAGATTGTTGTAATTATGCAGAACTCAAGGGAGTGGATTTTGTAATTAACCTCAATCATATTTGTTTTGAGAAGACATGGACATGACCACAAAGTTAAACTTGTTCATATCCTCCCTATATATAATTTCCGAATGCGCTGAGCCTACGTGGTTGCTTCTGGTGCTTCGGAATCCTATTTGGCGAAGAACCATGCTTCGTAATTAGGTTTGGATAAATAATATTGATATACTAATAATTAATAATCTAGGTTCGGGTATTCCATAAATATTATTTAGCTAACTTAGGTATTTTAATATCACTTTTACTAATATAATCCTTTAATTCTTTGTAATTTTACAAGTGAAGCACTAAGTGACTAATATATCCCTGAATTTTGATTTATTTCCTTCATTAAACTATTGAATTATAAATGTATTGTAAAAGTTGATAACTTTTGTATTTCTTAATATATCAAATTAATCATCTTTTGATGATCTTCGATTTGACATCCATATTGTATATACGAAATAAATAAATTATATATATCTTTATAATAATAATAAATAATAATATTTATTAAAATTCATTAGAAAAATAAAATTATTTCTCAACTGATATATTTATATGTAATGTAGTTATATATTGTAAGTTAAAAAAAATTAGTATAATATAACACAAATAAGTTGCACAAATAAAAAGTGTCATAATAAATATATAATAATATATATTCTTATTAAAGGTATTTAAATTTTCAAACTACTTATTCTCATTAATTTTAATTTTTAAGAAAAAAATTAGCAAGCACCCGTGTAATACACGGGTGTTATACTAGTACACTAAGGAATCACATTTCGAGCGACCAGAGTAATTTTCAACACACACCAAAAAAAAAAATAATAAAAAAAAAATGCATGCAAGGCAGTCTATATAGATGCATGAATTTTCGAAAGGTTTTTATCTCAGATGACCTGATCCAATTCCAGATTTTGCAGTACAATTTGTAGGTTTCAAGAAGACCAATAAATTTTTGACACTATGTGGGTTTTTATCAAGCTCGTCATATTTCGTGTTTTGCGGAAAAGATATATAAATTTCACCTTCTTTTTTTTTTTTTTAAATCAACGTAATAAATTTGTGTCGACAAAAGGCTTACTTGATACTCCTCCCGTATTGAGATGACCCTGGGAATTATTTCGGCATCTTGGTAGGAAAGAACTCTTGGGCTCTGTGCAATAAGGCTAAAACCGGGGAATAATTTCTGGGTATTCCACCAGTAGTTGAGCCACGGCACATAATGGGCCACACGCATGGCCCATTGGTCCTCCGGTAGCTGCTGCTTATATGCTTCTCGGGACACGTTTGAAGAGAGACCGGGCCACCAGTAATTAACTGCCGGTGCTAGCAAAACTGCTCCCGCCAGCCTGTCGGGATGAAAATCGAGCAAAAACATTTCGATTTATTAGCATTTGAATTAAAATAGTAGTTTGTTATCAGATACTAAAATTTCACTTCTGGCATTCTATATGACAAGGAAAAATGGTAAAGTTACGGTTCCACCTTTTTTTTTTTTTTTTTTTTTTTTTTTTTTTTTTTTTTTAAGTTTGCTTGCAGACAGAAGAATAAAGCTATGTTTGATAAAACTAGCTGATAAGTAATAAGTAATTTTCGAGTTCATAATTCAAAAGGCAAGACACTCTCATAAAAAATATATATATTTAAACGTGATAATTACGATCATTTTAATTCTCAATCTTCACTGAAAAAACTTATATTCAAAACTTTACCTATGGGGAATGTACTTGAGGCATGTCCACACAATCTGTCCAC